TTTATCCCGTCGACCTATTATATATAATATATATATCAAATAAACAAGTAATTTTGTTTTCTGAATTTAGTAATCTTTCATAATCTTTGCTTGTTTATGATTAAAATAACTATTTTCAATTTCAAATTAAAAATAAAGAATTAATTAAAACTTATTTTCAACTTACCTTATATGTGTATCGATCAGGAAACACCTTTCCACATCTTTTACATTTTAAAGGCTTATCAGTATTATGTAACTTTTGCATATGAATTCGGAGATCAGTCTTTCGGCCGCAAGTTGTTGGACAGAGTTCACACTTAAATACTGGTTTATTTCCTGAATGAATTAGTTTATGTGCTTTTAAACTATTTGACTGAGTAAATTTAGAATGGCAGACATTACATTCATAAGGTTTCTCCCCTGTGTGTATACGAAGATGGCGTTTTAATTTATAAGTATCTGGACTTGCATAAGTACAATGAGGACACTGGTAAGGTCTTTCTCCTGTATGGCATCTCATGTGTCGTTTCAACTTACTTAATTCTACGCTAGCATAATCACATTCAGTACAATGGTGTGGTTTTTCATGAGTATGTTTATATCGTACATGACGGACTAATTCTCCCGAAGTAGTAAATGCAGCTGGACAATCTTTGCAATGATGAGGTCGAGTTCCAGTGTGGGTATTCACATGATTTTGCAAAGATGCTAAAGTTTTGAAACCACGTTCACAAACACTACATTTATGAGGACGTTCTTCTGAATGAGATTTCATATGACGTGAAAGCAAATAACGTTTTGGACTTGTATAATTGCAATAATTACACATATGTGGTTGAGCTATTTGTTGACTCTTTTTAGGAGTTACTTTTATTGCATGTGTTTTGGTCCCATCAGCAGTAAATTCAGTCGACAACAATTCACTATGTTTTTCACCTTCATTAAAATCATACACTGACATATCCAAACTAAGTTCTTTTTCACCTTTAGATTCATCTGGTTGTGACACAATTAAAACATAACTAACTTCGCCTGGGTTAGTATCAGAAGGGACAATAGTCACTGTTTGATAAGAATTTCCTGTATTCAATATTACCTAAAAAAATTTAATTGTATATAATAAATAAATTTTATGCACAATAATTTTCAAACAATATTCATTGTATCTTTAACATTACTGAAGTAAATTCCCTATCAACAATGTAAGATTTGTATTTGTATAAATTACAAGATAGTAATGATATATTAAATTAAGACAGAACTAAAATTGCTTTTTTTTCTGAAAGCCAAATACTGTCTAATTGTATTTTTAAATATTTATGAAAATGTTTTAAGAATTTTAACTATTAAAGATAATTTTCTAGTAAGTCTAATTCTATTCATTCAACCATAATGCAATTGAAACATTTAATAAATTAACTTTGAAAACTAAAGAAAAGTCATTCTTGATAATTTGAGAAATGAGTGTTATTTTATAAATCATAAATGATATTTCATGATAACTGATGACAAATTTTAATTACTATACCTGATTATTTCCATCAATCCCATTATTTGCAGCTTGCTCTGCAAGCTTAGCTACCATCTGAAGTGTACCATCATCACTAATATGAATCTGTTGTCCATCAGCAGTAATTAATGTTGATCCTGAAGCACTAGTGATTGGTACAGTCTGCTCAGTTTCTGTCCCATCAGGTTGCTTTACAACCATATGAACAGATTGAGGATACCTATTTCTACAGTTTATTGTTGAATCCTGAGTGTTTCCATCCTGTTGAATTAATATTTTTATGCTTAATTTATATCAAATCAATGTAAATTTATTTTAAAATGTTACTGTTATGAAATGTAATAAATAAAAGAAACCTGTTCTTCTCCAGTTTGTATCTCATTTCCTATATTAGGCTGCATAGCAATAAACGTTGGTTGATCCTGTGTATCTGTACTTCCTGAAGTATTGCTTTTCCTTTCCATGACTTGTAATAATTCTTCTGTTTTCTCTGAAGTAATCTATAACACAAATTTTTTTAAACATTGTTTTTAAGCAATATATACATTATTATAAAAACACTACATATATTATTAATATTATTTAGATAAATACTTCTTTAAAATAATATATAAGTAACTTTCTTACTTACTACTAACTTAAAATCAAAGTTTTCTAAAAACTTAGTAAAATTTTGATGTTAAGAATAAATTAAACTCTTGAAAATGGACACGCAAGTCTAAAAATGTTTGAATATACACTTTACATATGTTGACCTCAACTAACATAGTTCCTTTGATATAACACCCTAATATATTTTAGTGATTCATGTATGACAAAACCAACAAAGAAAAATGTAAAAAGAATTAGAGAAAATATAAATATTAAACATTTATGTTTTATCAAAAGCATTCTTTTAAATCTATACTATAAAATTCTGGAAACCTTATATACTCAATAAATGGAACGCAACGGCACCATGGTTCCCACTTCACACTTTCCTATCATTCCTTACTTTTCTTCCCTCTTCTCACTTCCTCTAAAACTCTTCATCCTTCCTTTTCAAAGGCTATGCCGTAAGGTTCGGTCTTCTAACACTTTTAAACATATATTATATCATATAATGAGATTTGCTTTGGAAGGAACTTTTTAAACATTCGAATTTTTAGACGTTTAGTGTGCAGGTCCATAAATAAAGAATTACAATATACTGTGGTACCTCAGGATACAAATGCCCCAGCATACAAAATTTTCAGAATACGACATGAAATTCGAACATATTTTTGCTCCACAATACAAACAAAAACTCACCATACAACATTACCTTAGTTTGTAGCGGTTCATTGATCTCAGTCCGCGTGTTTGCTTCATTGTGGAAGGATCTCGCTCGACAAAGGAAATCTTGAGGTATTATCAGAAAGTGACCGATTTTATTGAAAAGAAACATCCCAAAAAGGTTCACACTAGCTGTATTGCTGCTCAGAGTAATGATATTTGCCTAAGTAATTTTAAAAAGTAGGCTTTGCCTACTTTTTAAAATTACTTAGGCAAATATCATTTTTTAAATGTTTCTAAAATTACTCTTTGGATAGATATTTTACCAAGCGACCTCTATCCAGTGAAAGTGCTGGTGGAAGTGAAGGAAAGGAAAGAAAGCAAAAAGCAGTGAATAAAAATTAAAAAAAATTAAAATATATATATAAATATAAAACAACAATAATTTTTTTATCTTTTCTAAGTTATTTTTAAATTATTGTTACATTATGTTATGTAAGTTAAGTTTTAGTATCATTTCCCTTCTCCCTCTCTTCTGCCACCAATTTACACCTCCACCATTGTCTATCCTCAAAGGTAAAGTGCAAATAAAACTACATTTTTTAAAATTAATTATTATTCTATTATGGTTATTTATACATTTACAACTACAAAATGCACTTTTCAGTGTTTTCCTTGTAAAGTACTAAGTTATTTTTACGCCTTTTACAACGATTAGCGGCACGACTTTGTGCCAGAAATATCTGTTACCTAACAGGTACTTTACGTGGATTTGCATTAATGTGCCAGGCCTGGACTTTAAGCATGCACCGAATTAAATAATGACAAAATTAGTCAAAAACCAATCCAATATTTAATAATAATTCTAGTAATAACTATGTACAAAAATTTAATAATGTGAGCCACCGGGAGAGAAGAGGAGTCCTCTCCTTCCGGTCAATGGTCGGTGACCTACTTTCTTGTCAGAGATGGTAGTAACGTTCGGTTACGCGTTACGCGAGTGGAGGAGAGTCAGAGGGGTCAACGAGAAGGCGTTGGCATAGTCGAATAAAGACATCATTTTTCTAAACTAACAATTTATTACAGACAAATAATAAAACAAACGTTCTAACACGATAAGTCTCATTTGCGTATGAGAGAGAGAGCTTACAATAAAGCGTTCATACCTCTTGCGATGATAGCGAAGGCCTTTAATTTCTGAAAGGCAGGATCCAAGTTGAGGGTTGGGATCGAAGGTCTTCTAATATGTGGTGCGGCCATTTAGAGGGAAGCGAATGTTCGTCTTGATGATGCAATGGCGACTTCTTGATCAGCGACTCCCCGGAGAGGGGAAGGAGGATGGCTTTTACACCTTTTTGGTGAGAAAATTCGTCAGGTGATCAATTGTTTTAGCAGGTGTGGGGTTAAAGGTGGTGTTAGAATGACAACAATATGACGAATTTCGCCGATAACTGTAAACTATTCACGGATTGATCGTAAGAATGTTTATAGTTTAACAGAAAGAGTTATAATTTTCTCATGCACCTCAAATTTCGTTTCTGCAGGTGCAATTTCCAGTTAAAGGAATTTATTAAAAAATTTAAAGGATTAAATGCTTTTATTAACTTCGAATTTCACAATAACAATCAACAACAAATTTATTCAAAGAAAAAAAATCAATAAGAATCAACCCGACAAAACTCAAATCAATCTATTTGCTAACTTAAATCTATTCCCCTTTGGAACTCGACAAAAATTTCAAAGACTTAACTTATGTACAACAATTCTTACGAACTAAGGTCCTAATCATCACCTCAATATAGTAGGAACCTTTTTCCTCAACTCTCAAGTCTTTCTCTAATCTTCAATCCACAAATCAAATAACTTCAAAATCGCCTTGGAACCACTTTATCGCTATCGGACACTTCTTCTCGTTTGCTGCTATGAAGCTCACCACACTTGTTGCTAACAAAAGCTCACCTCGGTCATCTTCACTTGAGGTTCGGAATTTATACTGTGAGGTGACGTCACAATTCTGAGTGAGATCACTCCCCTCATTTACATACTTATTGCTAACAGTCAACTATTCCTTTCAGCCTATTTCCCGGCAATACTCGCTAACCTTTTACATTATTCTTTTTTTTTTTACAATTTTTCAGGATGTTTTATTCTTTAAGGTTTAGCAAGTTCCTAAGTTATGTTTGTGGGATCTCCCCCCTTCTTTTCGGTGCAGACTTACTTTTTCCACTCGGGAGCACAAGTGTGTGCGAGTTTTTCTACGGTGCTTTTTTTGTCAATGAGTTGGTTCTTTCTTCTATTTTTAAGTTTCTAAGGTGATTGGTGAGGAAACCTTTGTCCTAACAAAACATAAGCCCCAAACAAAAATAGAATAACAAGCAAAATAAAAAATAACTAAAAATAACGCTCGGACTTGGTTCCTTACATCCTTACTATATATATATATTTTTTAATGTACTACTTAGCTTTAATTTGAGTGTTTTTTTTGTGTTGGAACGAATTACTTGGTTTTACATGTAATTGTATGGGAAAAAATGATTCACCTTATGACATTTTCATGATATGATCTCAGTTTTGGAATGGATTAATTTAGTATCCTGAGGTACCACTGTATATGGATTACTTGTACAAATATACACAAACACTATAAATACATATAATACATGAATAAATAAATACATTAACACAACTGCTAATATAAAAAAGGCCACTATTGTGCCCAATTCTTTAACTGTTCGTCCCTTTTTTCCATACTAAAATATTCACATTATGCCCGCTCTCCCATGCCGCCAAGACTCTACTTGATTATCTGAAGTTTCTTGCTTGTCCTTCCTGGTTGGTCTTGTGTATTTGCCATGCTTCTGCATATTTTTGTTTGTTGCTGCTCCTATTTCTTTGTAAATATTGCTTAGGGGTGCAATGTATTCCAACACTTCTATTCTTTCCTGCTCATTAACTTCGTTATCTCTATTTTTCTATTGTTAATAATGGCGTTTATCACATTCTGGCTGATTCCGCACTGCCTAACTAGTTCTTTGATGTGATCTAATTCTTTAATTCTGTCTTGTAGTTTGCTACAGTGTGTGTACGCTCCCTTTATAAGCACCCAGAATGCTGCTACAGTACTTTAAAAGTTGCAGGGTCGTGGGAGGTCCATGATATTAACTGGGGTTTTGTAGTAATTTCCCCTCCTTCCTCTACTTTTATTGCTATGTCTAAGAAATGTATAGTTTTATCGTTCTCATGCTCTAGCTCGAGCTCTAGGCAGAACTTGTTGGAATTGTTGAATGTCTGGTTTATCTTTCCAAATAATTAAGACGTCATAATAGCATGCATATACTAAAACATGTATTGTGTACTTCGCTAAGATGGCTTTCTCTAGTCCTTAATCTTGCCTAATGCACCTGAAATGGAACTTCCCATTGCCACTCCTCTATGTTGTATGTATGTTATTCCTTTAAAATTAAAGAGTGACAAATATGTAGCAAGATGTGTCAGTTCCAGTACCTAATGAGACTCAAACCCGCAACCCCCTCTTACCATGCAAACATGTTGCCAGTTATGCTACCTGGACCTCCAATCTTTGTTTCCAGAACTATTAATTTAGACATATAACATATATATAAACAGTAATTCTTATTAATAAGAACATTTTAAAAAAATAAAAAATGCATGAAAACAAAAGATGATTTAATCTAAGTACCTAAATATTTTTAATTTTAAAAATATTTAAGTATTTATCCTCTTTAACTGTTTGAATAAATAAATTAGTATCCATGGGTATAAATATTTAATAAATGTAGAAGTATTAATAAATGAATACACGATAAATTTTTAAAATAAATTATTTTCTGCATTTAATTTGATTCATTTATATTATTCTGAACAACACATAGAATCTGAAGTATTCAAAATGTTTATACACACACACACACACATATATATAAATATATATATACAGTAGAGCGTCGATTATCCGAATCAATTGGGGGCTGGGGTTGTTCGGAAGATCGATGTTTCGGATGACCGATTATGTACGAAAAAATATATTAATTTATCCCATCTTGACATTTTTCTCCGTTGCGTGTCGCTTTGCGTTGAATTTTCGTCAATGTTAAGCCTAACGAAGACTATTGTATCGTTAAAAATTATTTTTTTATTTTGTACAAACAAAATAAATATATTGAAAAATATAAAAACAATAAAAAATTATACTTCAGAAGTTAATTTAGTATCAAAACGTAAAATATTTGAGTAGCCCAAGACATAGCCAAAGATTGCAGCGCCACAGCACTGGTGAAAATTTAAATTTGCCGATTGGAATTCTTTCGGATGATTGACTTTCGGATAATCAACGCTCTACTGTATATTGTACAGTACAACGCTGTACTGTCGTAAAGCTGAGGCTGCTGTTTTCATTACAAAAAGAACTGCATTTTGTTAAAATATTTATTATAAATTTTACATTATATTTATTAAATATTTACATTTCTTAACTGGAAATCCAGACATCAATTAAGATGACTTTTCAATAAATTTGCTGTTGCATTATGATTACCTGATCATGACTTCTATAGTGGTATTCCCCTATATGGTTTTCACTGCCAGACTGTGTTAAATAATATGCTGTTCTCCCAACATCTTGTATGATATGTTGTACACTGTCAGAGCTTGCTGTGTTGGAACCATCTTGAATTTCCTTATTAAAAGTAGCTAAATAATTTTGTATGTCAGTAATAGATTCACTCTCTGAAGCAGCACTTTTAGAAGATTCCATTTTTTTTCTAATTAAATATAAAAATATTTTTATTTTATCACCATTCTTCATTAAATTATTTTATTGCAAATTAATTACTAATGAAATATTTAAATTAAATAAAGTACTATTTAATATTTATATTTTATTCTTTACTGTTATTCACTAACCTAATATTTACCTAAGAATTGAGATTTCTCTACAGTAAATTATACTGTTAATTTTTAAATACAGCATAGCATTATCTAATATCTGTTCACCAAAAGTTTAGCAAATAGAGTCTATATAATTTTTGTGTTGTAATTCATCATGTAATCTACATATTTAAAATAGAATGTCCGTCTGTCTGTCTCTTCTCTATACACTTCAAAACCTTTGAATGATCTGCACCAAATTTTTTATACTTACTCTCTAGGAACTGTGCAGAAAATACAGGCTAATATGAAACATGGACATCCCACTCCTCCCAATTTCATCCCATTGACACTTCATGATAAACATAATAATAAAGACTACGATAACCAAAATTTTAATATGGTTTTCATTTTAATATTTGCCCTTGTTACTTTTTGCCTGGGCAGCAGTGAGCATTATCTGTTACTGTATCATAAATTACAACAACAGAGATAGTTACAAAAATAAAAAATTTATTACTAATTTATTTAATATGACAATTGACAATAAATGTTGTCATGCATTTTTAATACTTTTGTAACCACAAATATTGTATTGATCTTAAGAATTCATGAAGATTATAGCTATAAATCAAACAGCATTGGTTGAGAATAATAAAAGATAAATTGTTAACTATTATTTTACTGAAACTTAATGATATCATTTATAATATACAATTAAAATGAAAGTTGATTCAATAGTGTCTTGTATTGTATAAGAATTTAATTTGTTTATGCTCATCCACAGTTATTAAAGAAATCAAAAATATCTCACTATGTTAAATGAAGTTACACAAATGTTAGGGTCATACACGCTTATAAGTTGACTCACTTCTTTTAAATATATTTAGCAAGTTCAATGTTGACAAGGCCTTTGTGGTGGACTCTTGGTGCTCACATAGCCACTTTTTTTATTTGTCTTGAGGTTGTCCTAATATAATGACAAATAGAACTTTGGGTAGGATGAGCGATTGCAACACTATAAACTCCAGAATGTTCTAAGAATTTATGGACTAGTCTATCTGTAACCACTAATTTTTCTAAAAATGAGAAGGTGTAATCAGTAACAAATATTAATGCTTCCTAAAGAGTATGATTTTAAAAGTAATTTGCAATATGGAAGATGCACAAAAGTTATAGGATAGTCTGTTGTATAGAAATAGTAGAAGGGAACATGAATCCGTGGACCTTACTATGTATGTACAGTACCTGAACTTAAACTAAGCAGTGATAGCATCAGGATATCCTAACTGGATGTCCTAATGGATAACTGGATTTCATCCTTGCATTATCTAGTATTTATTTCACTATTTACTGTAGAGACTGAGATGCCTGATAAACCAATTTCTTTTTCAGATTTGCACATTTTTCATAGAAATTAAAGTATAGAGTTTGGCATATCTCATAAGTTCAATGCTCCACTAACTGTTATTCCTTGTAACTCATATCAACTGCTACTCTACAACATAGTCATAAGCTCCTTAATATGCAATGTACTTTTTAACTTCTAAATTACACATATTACTCAAAAAGTTAAGTGTCATCCAGTTAGGCTATCATGATACTATCACTGCTGAGTTTAAGTTAATGTACAGTAATATTAATACAAGAGTCATGATGAAAGTTTCCAGATACAGTAACCATGTTTATTCTTAACTTGCAAGAAAACCAGCTCCAGGAGCACTGATACCAGTCTTCTAAGTAGTATGCCATGGTGTCTCTGTACACAGCAACTACCTCTTCTGGGCTTCCAAAAAGGCATTCCTTGAGGACCACATTGACTTTGGGAAACAGAAAGAAGTTGCAGGTTGCTACATCTGGACTATAAGTTGGATGAGTGACCAACTGCACTCCAGAGTTACTCAAGTAATCCACCATTCTCATTGCTGTATGTGCTGTTGCATTATCACAGTGCAGAAAGTCTATGAAGGATGTCATTAGTGATTTTCTTGAAAGACTTGAGGAAGACAAATGATGACCTATCACTCAGCATTAGCTGTCCTTCTCAAGGGCTATGATGGCACCATGGCTCTGTCTTCCAAAGAATGTCGTTACCATTTTCTGACTGACACTTCTTGGACATTTTACTTTGACAAGTAGTATTTAATCTAGGGGTCCCCAAACTTTTTATCCCGTCGACCCCTTTATAGAATATTTGCCTTCTTATTGACCCCCAGATTATGTATTTAACAAAAACATTAAATCATTTTTGCATTTCTGATGTTAAGCGATAAGGAGACCTGCATAACAACCCAACAAAAGAATTTATAGTTCCCATCTATATATATAATCAAGACAAGTTGATAATAATAATAATAATAAGTGCAGAGCCCAAACGGTTAGGAGTTGAAAGTTGAAATTTGGTACACAGTTATAGTCATGAAAATGCACACTAAGAAGGGATTTTTCGAAATTCCCTCCCGGGGGAGAGAGACAGGATTAAGGTTTTGACAATGGAAGTATTAAGTAACAATGGAAGTATCAACAATGGAAGTGTTAAGAATGGAAGTGTTACGTAACAATGGAATTGTTAAGAGAAAGCGACGTGCAAGACGCAGATGCAGTTTTTTCATTTTGCGGGAAATTGAACATATTTTTAGACCCATCTAAAAATTCTCTAATTAGTCCAGAAACAGGAGGACCGAATTCTTGCATTCTGTGAAAACGGGTAAGGTTGACTATAACGTAATAATTTTAATCTTCGCTATTGTTACTTTTGCCCGAGCAACGCCGGGCCTACCTGCTAGTTTTTTATAAAATTCACCCAATAACATTAACAGAAATAGGAGTTAATTTCCAATGATTTATAATCTTAAAAAATAATATCAAAATTATGGATAAATGGAAATTTGCCTATAGTTCTTAAACCGTACATGTCATAATACGTAAAATACGTATTATTTATATTATTTATATACATAAATATTTTACGTATTGCATAATATGTAAAATATACAATTATCTTTGAAAACATAACAAGTTACATAGGTGTATAAGCTTAAATCTGCTGTTTTTTAGTCAGAAAAACACACGTTTTTTTCTTAGAAAGCAAAAACAAATTTATTCAAAGTACTTTCCCTCACTAGTGACACATTTGTTCCATCTCTCGGGCAATGTGTGGATACCATGCCAAAAAAATTTCTTCTCTTTCGAGGCAAACCACTCATCAAGCCATTTTCGGACGTCTTCGTAAGAATCAAAGTGCCGCTCAGCAAGCACGTGGCCCATCAATGAAAAGAGGTGATAGTCGGAAGGGGCCAGGTCTGGTGAATAAGCGGGATGGGGTAGCACCTCCCAGTTGAGTGTCTCCAAGTAGTTTCGGACCAATGTTGACACATGCGATGGTGCATTGTCGTGGAGGAAAATCAGCTTGTCGTGTCTTTGCTGATAATCCGGCCTTTTTTCACGCAGAGCACAGTGCAATTTGATCAGTTGTTGGTGGTAGCGGTGAGCATTGACAGTTTCACCAGGTTTCAACAGCTCATAGTAGACAATACCCTGCTGATCCCACCAAACGCACAGCATTGTCTTCCGTCCAAAGCGATTTGGTCTTGGGAAAGATGTTGATGGTTTGCCTGGATCAACCCACGATTTCTTGCATTTAGGATTCTCAAAATATATCCATTTCTCATCGCCAGTTACAATCCGATGCAGAAATGACTTTCTTTTTTGTCTGGCGAGCAAGATTTCGCATGTGTTTTGGTGTCGCTCCATCTGCCTATTGTTCAATTCATGCGGCACCCATTTTCCGATCTTCTGAATCTTTCCCATGGCACATAGACGCATGGAAATGGCTGGTTGAGTAACACCCAATTGCTCGGCAAGCATTTTTTGCAATTGGGTATCGTCCTCATCCAAAAGAGCCTGTAGTTGATGGTCCTCAACCTTCCTGGGCCAATTTTCATGCTTCTTGTCGCTCAAGTAAAAATTTCCATCTTTGAACTGACAAAACCAATCTCTGCACGTGGTTTCCAATAAAGCTCTGTCTCCATAAGGCTCCACAAGCTTGATGTGCTTTGGCAGCCGATTTCTTCAAATTAAAGCAGAAAAGCAAAGCTTGCCGCATATGCTCTTTTTCTGGCACAAAAGTAGACATGATTACAAAAAAGAAAAATATATGTTGTTGTATGAAATATCTGATGATGTGCACTGATTAATGTTGACAGACGTCAAAATCATCAAAAAAACAATATGGCGTCGTCATGGTAACTTAATACGCTCGCTTACGCCATCTACTAGCAAACAACGGATTTAAGCTTATACACCTGGTATATTGGATGAAAAAACCTTATACTGTCATTTTGCTACTACTACTGAATGCCTTAAAAATAGGTTAACATAACTTTTTATTAAAATAGTTGATATTAGTGGGATGGATGTGTCCAAAGAGAAGCAGCAAGTTTATTGATATTTGGTTGAAAATTGTTAAGTTTTAGTCGCAAATCACCACAGTTTTCCGAGTTCAATCTGTTCCTCTGTTTTGTCAAAATTGCGTTTGCATGGCTAAAACCACAACCACGTATGAAGTTGGGAATGCAAGTAAGAAAGGTTCGGCTTCTGCTCCGAGCTTAAGATATTTAGTGGCAATATTGTTATTGCTCCAAAATTCACTGAGATTTTTATTTTTAAACAAAGCTTTAGATTTGAGATCTACACATATTTCACTCAGTTCATTTTCTAAACCAGGTTCATTACCTTCATTATCTATTTTTACATCAAATGGATTAGCAAACCATTCGGGAAAATGCATATTCTCCGAGTCTTCGAAACGTGGTTTAAAGTCTTCTCTTAATTTATCAACATGTTTAATATATATCTCCAAATCACGGTCAGAAATCTTTTCATTTTCTTTTAGTACTCACAAGTTTGAAAAATAT